AAGAGATTTCAGGTTGTGCTTGCAACTCCTCCTCCTTTGCCTCCGTCTCCAAATCTCATCTGGGATTTTAGGCAAATTGTTCCTGAGCTGGAGGGGCCACAGTGCTCAGTCAGGTTGTTTCTGAAATGCAGGCAGGGATGGAGCTGGTTTGGAGCCAAGCTGGGAGCAGGGTCAGGATGTAATTCTGTGATTGAGGGGAGACCTCACTGGGGTCTTCAACATCCTTGTGAGGGGCAGAGGAGGGGCAGGACTGAGCTCTGCTCTGGGGGGACCAGGGACAGCCCCCAGGGAAGGGCTGGAGCTGGGTCAGGGTAGGGTTAGGCTGGATTTTAGGAACAGGTTCTTCCCCCAGAGGGTGGTTGGCACTGCCCAGGCTCCCCAGGGCAGTGGGCACAGCCCCAAGGCTGCCAGAGCTCCAGGAGGGTTGGGATGATCCTCTGGGGCACAGTGTGGGATTCTTGGGGCTGGGTCTGTGCAGGGCTGAGGGTTGGACTGGGTGGTCCTTGTGTGTCCCTTCCAGCTCAGGATATTCTGTGACTCTGTGACACACAAGTTGTTCCCGGGCTGGAGGCCCCGCTCTGTTCAGCCGAGCTGTTTCTGCGGCGCAGGGACTGGGCTGGTTTGGAGCCACTCTGGGGAGCAGGATCAGGATGTAACTCCCTGATTGCTCAGGGCTGGCACAGGGAGAGCCTTTGGGAGTGCCCCTGTTCCGCCACGCGCTCCCCAAAAACCATCAGGGTGATTGGCACGAGGTCGGAGCCGTCCCGGCTGAGCTGAGCGCGGCGGCTCCTCTGAGCCTGGGGCTGTCGGGGAGCTCCGGCGGCCGGGATTGCATCGCAGGGATCCTGCTCCTGCTCCACCTCTGTTCCAAGACACATGTCCCGACACCACCGCCCTGGGTGGGGCGGTTAATGATTTCGGGAGGGGGGTGAGGCTGCTGGAAAACACGTCCATCACCCGCTCGGCTCCGCGTGTCCCGTGCCGGGCGGGCGAGTCCGGGCTCCTCTGCCTGAAAAATGAACTTGGGGGTGGGGGGGGAGGAAGCAAAAAGCATCACTATGAAGTGAAAAATCCATCCTAAATAACTTCCAAAGAGCCAAGATGGACGTGCTGTGATGTGAGGATGTGCTTGATTCCTGCCAGCTCGAACCATTCCAGGTGGGAATACAAACAACTCGCGGCAGCAGCAGCTTGTTAGTGGTGATATATCAGTGTCGGGGTGCTGGTTTGCCTCCTGTCAACAGCAGCTGCTTATCAAGCACATTTCCCACTCTATTTCTGAGGGAAAAAAAGTCTAAAATTGATGTTCAGAAGGCGCTGCCGATTTTATCAGGAGCTGCTTTAAGTGGGCTTTGGTTGTGCCGAGCACAGGGATGAGGCAGGAAAGGATTGGGTTCAGTCTTATTTATAAGGAGGGAAAACCATAAATCCTGGAAGGGTTTTAAATCTTGGTGCCCAGGGCAGGAGATGCTGGTCATCCCTGGTGGTGCTTTCCTTTCTCTGAGCAGACATTTAATACAGTGATTGAAAGCCCTGTGGCATCTGCAAGGTCTCTGATAGTAAATATTTTTTAAAAAATGGATTAATGCTGAAAATGTGGGAAAAAATACCTTTATATACTTTTGCCTTTCGAATATTGGATTTAAACTGTCAGGCATCTCTGCATTCTTTAAGAGGAAACACTGAGGGGTTTTTTTTAAAGAAAAAAGACTTTTAAGTGTTTAAACTTTAAGAATAATAGAAAACAAAGATCATCTTCTCAGTTGGCCCAAGAAGATTCAGCTTCCAGGTTTCAAAGGTGAAATGCACATTTTTACCTGCAAAAAATTTTGGGGCCTGAGCAAATCCTGTGTGGAAAAGGAAGGAGGAGGGAAGGCTGAGCCAGAAGCTGGTCCTGGCCTTGGTGGCTCTGCCCCCTTTGCCATCTCTGCAACAAGTTGTGGTAAAAAATACTCACAAAGAGGGTCCCGAGGTGCCACTTGGGTGGTGAAGACTCAGAGAGTCCTGGTGCTGTCAGGCCCTGATGATCAAATTCCTTTTCCCATCTCACCTTCCCCGTGTTGGACTTGTTAACTTATTAACTTATTAACTGTCAGTGGGCACAGAGAGCAGAGATTGGAGCTGCCCCTCGCACAGAAGCTGCAGGTTACGATGAGGTTGGTGAGCGGGGGAGAGGGTGGGATTGTTGGGGTGTCTGGGCAGGGCCAGGGGGTGGATTTGATCCCTGAGAGTCCCTTCCAGCTCACGATATTCTGTGATTCTCTAAAAGCCACTCAGCCCCAGCAAAAAACTCGAGTGTCTGTTGGAAGTAATGAAGAAAAATCACGCTGGGGCCGCGTCGTGCTCCCCGCCGCGCTCGGGGATGAGGAATTGGCACGAGCCGTGGTTTAAATAACCAAATGTGTCAGAAAAGCACAAATAAACGACGAAAAGCAAAAGGAAAAAAAAAACAAACAACAACCAACCAACCCAGGGCTCCGCTAAACTTTATGGTTGCTGTGCTTCATCTTCATTTTAGTGCAGGTGTTTGTTTGGAGGTGAGTGATGAACGTTCCCGAGCCTGGGAACGGGCTGGGAGCAGCCGAGATGGAGGACCCTGCTCAATAATTCACCGCCTGGCTCTTCTTTTTTTTTTTTTTGAATGAAAAATGCATTTTTTTCCCCTCCTGCTGAAGATGGATGTGGCCTGAAGACCCAAAAGAACTTTGCAGAGCTGGTAAAAAAGCAAATCAAATGCTTCCCAGCACACGCATCAAAGGTTTGCTCATCTCTCCGTGCCGTGGTAACGAAACCGGTGATGCTGAGCTGGAAACGCGGTGTAAACTTTAATCCCAGTTTAAACACGACTTGTGAAGCGCCTGTAAGAGCGGGTGAGATGTCCCAAGCCACGCCTTGGGTTCAGGAGAGCGTGTTAAAAGGGCTTTTGTGTGTGTTTGAGGACATAATCTCCTGCTGGAGCTGCTGTCAGGGGAGCACCGTGATGCACCGGTGTGGCCGTGGGGCTGCACACGCAGACATCGGGGTCACTCCTGAGGCTTTGTGTGGAAATCTGCTCTTGTGCCAAAGGATTTCCCCTTTTTTAGGGGTTGAATATGTGGTGCAGAGCTGTGGAAACCGTACCTGCCAAAAAGAGAACGAAGCTGTGGCTGTTCTGTCCCTGGACGTGTCCAAGGGTGGGTTGGACAGGGCTTGGAGCAACCTGGGCTGGTGGAAGGTGTCCCTGCCCAGGGCAGGGGAAATGAGATGACCTTTAAAATCCCTTCCAACCCCAACCCCTTCCATGATTCCACGGTAATAAAAGGGGTGTTGTCTTTGCCAGCTCAGGACGTGATGAGGGTGCTTAGAGCTGCAAACACCCCGAGGTTCTCCTGGATTTGAGCTGCTCCCAGACAGGTTGCACCTGACAAGGTCTAACCCTGCTGGTGGTGCTGGGGAGTCCTGGGAGGTGATTCCCTTTGAAGAAGGGGGTTGTGAGGTTGAGCACTGTGTGAAGGTGGGACACACTCAGGAGGCTGGAGTTGTCCAAAGAAGTTCCTGTTGGATTTTGGACAGTGCTCTCAGGCACCTGGTGGGATTGCAGGACAGGAGTGTTGCACTGATGATCCAGGCTAGTTGATGCCTTAAGATCCTAGGACATAGATTTTAATTTAGCTTCTAACGCTTTATAACTAATCATCACTTGTCACCCCTTGTGCCAGATTCTTGAAACTCTGTTTAATGTTCTTTCTCAAGGGGAGACTTGAGCAAGAACATCCAGCCTGTGGGAGATGCACCTCACATCATACACACAGTGCTTGATGGAACTTCAGACTAAACTATTGGAGGAGGCCCAGGGTCCTTGAAGAAGGGCCAAGCAGGGCACAGAGGGATGATGAAGATGAAGGAAGGATGAAGGAGTGTGGTTTTTGGGAGCACCAACCCCATTCAGGGAGTTGTGCCTAGGGGAGGGGTAGAGCTCTGGACCCAGGAGCTTCTGGCTCATGGGATTGGCTAGGAGTTTTACTTAAATGTAGAGATACAGGATTCTTTAACACCTTCAGAAAGTGTTAAGAGAATAAGCCACGGGCTTGTTCCCAAGGGATTTCTTTATTAATTTTGGGGAGAAAATAAGGGAACTTGGCCAAAGTTCAAAAAGGGCACCACACAAGCTGGACAGAGTGTTCCACCACAATATCAACCCAGCACAGACTAATCCACAACACCTGAGTCAAAATCCAACCCCTGCAGCTCCCAAAGCCACCCAGAGCATCAAGAAAGGGGCAGAGGAAGAGGAGCAGAGGGAGCAAGAAGAGAGAAGGAGAAAGAGGGAGAGGCAGATCCTGGAGCTGCCACTGGGACCTCGTAGAAAAGCAGCTCTCAAGTTCTATGGCAGGGCCAGCACAGGGGGCAGAGCTGGGCCTTGGTTTGATCTGCTCTGGTCCCTCTGGCCACCCCCCAGGAGGGGTCTGGGACCCACCGGCCACTCTGGGGCTCCAGGCCAGGGTGAGGGGCAGTCCCCACTGTCCCTGCCAGTCTGAGCTGGGTGAGGGGCTGCAGGAGCTGTGGGGTGTTCTAGGGCAGTGTCCTCACTGTCCCTATGAACTGTGGGGTGTTCCAGGGCAGTGTCCTCACTGTCCCAGTCTGAGCTGGCTCGGGGGATGCAGGACTGTGTTGTGTTCTGTGACCGTGAGGTTCCACCCATCCTTTCTCCCTCCACACACACACACACACTCCCCACAAGGTGGTTCTGACCCAAGAACCCCTGCTCTGGTGTCTAACAGGAGAGCCTGAGGGCACCCTGGGAGATGAACAGTTTTTGGGCCACGAGGTGATGGTTAGATAAGCTAATTAGCCAGTGCTATAATGCTAATTAGCCGGTACTATAAGATTGTAACACCTGTTCCGTGTGCTTGTGCTAAATGTACTTTGTGCCCTGCTCTCCTCCCGACTTCACCAAACTGTCCAGGGAATTTTTTTCCCCGTGGTTCCAGGGCCTCACCAGGTGTCCCTTTTCCTTGCAGGGGAAGGTGGCCCAGACCGCCTGCATGTCCGCCTGCAAGCACCTCTCGACGTCGCTGCTGCAGCTGCTGCTGGAGGCCGAGGTGAGGCAGCTCACGCTGGGGGCCCTGCAGCAGTTCAACCTGGACGTGGAGGAGTGTGAACGTGAGTGCCCAGTCACCCCCTTCCCCCCTGCCTCGCCCCTCCGTGCCCTGGGATTGCCAGGGGTGCCCGGCTGGGAAAGGGGAACGCCCCGCGGAGCTCGCTGGGATCGCTCGGGGATCGCTCGTGGGAGCGTCCTGGGGGCAGAGGAAACCCAGAAGATTCTGGCAGGTCCAAGTTTGGCTCTTCCTTTTCCTCTGTGTCGCTGTGTTGGTGCTCTCCACACCATCCCTGCTTTCTGGGGTGGAGTAGTTTGGAAAATAGGAGGGACTCAAGTGCAGGAGTTTATTTATGACTCTTTTTGAGAAACTCTGGAGCCAGACTGGGAGAGCCGGGGGGGTTCCCCTGCAGAAGAGAAGGCTCCAGGGAGACCTGAGAGCCCCTGGCAGGGCCTGAAGGGGCTCCAGGAGAGCTGGAGAGGGACTGGGGACAAGGCATGGAGGGACAGGACGCAGGGAATGGCTTCCCACTGCCAGAGGGCAGGGATAGATGGGATATTGGGAAGGAATTGTTGGGTGTGAGGGTGGGGAGGCCCTGGCACAGGTTGGGCAGAGAAGCTGTGGCTGCTCATGGAATGGTTTGGGTTGGGAGGGAATTTAAAACACATCCCATTCCAGCCCCCTGCCACGGGCAGGGACACCTTCCACCAGCCCAGGTTGCTCCAAACCCTGTCCAACCTGGCCCTGGACACTGCCAGGGATGGGAAATGACTCAATGACATCACCTGTGTTGGTTCCATCATCACCTGGCTCTTCCCACTCTCAAAACCTCTTTTCCACCCTGTGTCAAGCATTTTCCTGACCGTGTTTTCCTTCAGCTGTGCCCACCAACACTGGGATTAAAATTCAGTGCTCAGAAACATCCCCCAGTAAGATTTTTGATGTTTCTAATGAGCATATTTTTATTTTTTAATGTCCATTTGCAGTTTTCCAGCGCTCAGCCAAATAACCTGGGAGAAAGATCCCCTGGTTAATGAATCATGTCCCAATCCTGCAGTTCCATCACGTGTCATGACACAGGCAAGGCCTTATTTTTCTTTCAGCGGCCCCAAATTCCTCCCGTCTAATTTGGGAGCAGCTGAATTCCAATCAGTGGCCCGCAGAGGGACAGGAGATGGAGCTGGAAATAATAGGGGCCATTTGTCATCAATAATTCCTTCTGTTTTGGCTGCAAACAACACGCAGATCCCGGCAGTTTCCGCCCCATTGGGATCACTCGGCAGCGTCTCTTCCCTTCCCTGAGAGCTCCTGCTGCAAGGGAAACAGATGGCATCTAATTCCAGGTCTAAAAGCACAATTCCCCAAATTCCAGTTGTTTTTGGAGGCGAGACTGGGAGCACTCACACACTCAGGAGCAGGTGACTCCAACCTGGGACTCCAACCTGTTCCCCCATCCCGCGGTGCCGTGGCGGGTGGGGAATGGAGACGGATTCCGGAGCTGGAATCTTCCAATCCATCACTGTCAGTCCCGGGACACTCAACCCAGACTAAGCCTTTTTCTTCCCTTTCAGCAGTAAAAATGTCTGGTGTCTTTGCTGACACCAGGAGTCATTTTGCTTCTCTTTTTGGGCAGCGATTGCTCACGTTTTTAATTTCGGGATGAACCAATTCCTAGGGTGAACTGCTGCATTCAGAAAATATGTTTCAATTTGGGTTTTTCTTGGGTGGTTTTTTTGTTGATTTTTAAAATATTTTATCTGAAAGCACAGGTGTGAATCTCAGCATCTTTTATTATACCCTCTTTGAATCTCAGCATCTTTATTATACCATATTTGACTTCAAGCCTCTTCCTCCATCTTCTTCCTCTCCCCCCCGATTCCCAAATCTTATGTAGTTTATTAATTTTATCATATTAAAAAAGGATTTCAGAGCTGTTTGGAGCATTTCCAGTGAGTGCTGTGATGTGGGAACGGGGCTGCAGGTTTTTGATCCTGTAGGACTTTGTCAGGCTTTTGTTTAAGTCTCTTGTGAAGCCAGAGGAATAACCTGATTAAGAGAGGGGTGAGGCAAATTAATAGAAGGACTTATTTGTATATTAAGCAGAGTTTGAAGGTGGTGATGATATTTTCCTGCATATTAGAAGCAGATATGAAACACATTTCAGGAAAATGGGTTTATTTTCACAATTAACAATAATAGAGGTGAAAAAGATGGGGGTTAGGCTTAAAAGAAGACACTGGTAAATTAATTCTCCAGGATTTGTGGGTTTGTAAAATATTTCCTGATTTATAACCTCATTTACTGTCTCATCAGCATGGAAAGGGAAGGGCTGCCTGGATTGTTGGCATCAGGCTGAGCTTTGGTACCAGAGGTGCAAGAACTGATGGACAAGGGAGGGGATTCTGCCTCTCTGCCTCCCTCGGGTGAGACCCCTCTGCTCTGGAGCCAGGCTGGGAGAGCTGGGGGGGTTCCCCTGGAGAAGAGAAGGCTCCAGGGAGACCTGAGAGCCCCTGGCAGGGCCTAAAGGGGCTCCAGGAGAGCTGGAGAGGGACTGGGGACAAGGCATGGAGGGACAGGACGCAGGGAATGGCTTCCCACTAGAAAAGGGAAGATTTAGATGGGCTATTGGAAAGAAAATCCTTTCCTATGAGGGTGGTGAGGAACTGGAATGAGTTTCCCAGAGAAGCTGTGGCTGCCTCTGGATCCCTGGAAGTGTCCAAGGCCAGGTTGGAGCCACCTGGGCTGGTGGAAGGTGTCCCTGCTCATTGCAGGAGTTTGGAACTGGGTGATCACTCGGGTCTCTTCCAACCCAAACCATTCCATAATTCTATGATTTGGGATATTGTCCATCTCCAACACCTCTCTGTGTTCTACTTTGTTACCAGGATATGAACTGGTATTCATTCCGCCGTCCTCACAGTCCTTTGCAACTCTGTCAGGAGATGCCTCTGTCCACCCCTGATTTTGTTTGAGGAATTTTAGGAGTTCCCAGTTCCTCAGCTCTGCACCACCTTCCATTCCCACCCATCATGGACACACAGTACTGATGCTCATCAACCTTTGCAGCCCAGATTAGAATCCCAAAATGGTTTGGGTTGGAAGGGACCTTAAAGATCATCTCATCCCAGCCCCTGCCATGGGCAGGGACACCTTCCACTAGCCCAGGTTGCTCCAAGCTGGCCTTGGACACTTCCAGGGATCCAGGGGAGTCCACAACCTCTTGAGCCAGTGTGAGATGGTCACAGTCCACTTTTTCTAGTATTTTAATGAAGAACTAAGAGACATCCATTGTACATCTCAGCCTGGGGATTTGGGAACCTGTGGAGATCTGTAAGTCGATTCTTAAGCCTGTCCTCTGGATGGTGTGCCAGATTTCATGGCAGTTTCTTCTGAAGAGCTTCCTTTTCTTCTCCTTGGAAACATCTCATGGTCCACCACTGAGGAGTTCCTCCCTGGGGCTGTGGGTGCTCCTCAGCCCTGCCAGCAGGTCCTCAGAGCCCCTGGGACCCCTCGTTTCTCTGCAGTACCAGCTCTCCAGGCTCAGCTTTGTTCCATCAGAGAAGCAAATGATGGAGAGGGAGAGAAATTTTTCTGTAATCTGACCCAGTTCAGGGTATTTTGGGTGACTCCTCCCTCTTCCCACAGCTCTCTGGAATTACCCAGATGGGAATGAGATTTAGTGATTCGGTCTGTAATGGGGAACAGCTTCAAAGTGGGGTTGTATGGGAATGCTGTGGGTGAAGGACAAGCTCAGTATGGAAACTGGGTGAAGTAGAAGCTCAGTGTGGAAACTGGGACCTTCTCTCTGTTCCTCTTGCCTCAGTTCCTACCCATCATCTCCCACCTCTTTTCCCCTCACAAGCTTCTCCAGAGTCCACACAGAGATTTGTCCTTCAGCTTCAGTGTCCTCAGGGTGTCCCTTTGTGCCTCTGGATGAGGGACAAGAGGTCCCATCCCTTGGCTTTTCTAGGATAGCCTTCCAAGGGTTTACCTAAGAAGGAAGATGACTTGGAGACCTGCACCTTTCCGTGAGGAATACTGAGGTGGTTTTCCCCCCAGAGCTTCACCACCAGCAGATGGTCCAGGTTCCCTTCCACAGGATCTGCTGGGGCTCTGATCCGTCGGGAATTCTGAGGGCATCGTGTCAGCACTCCCCTGGAATGATGTTTCTGAGGAATGGAGCCGCCAGCTGTGCCCCTGGAAGTGCCAGGACGTGCCAGGCCCCGTCCCCGCGGGCAGAGCCGCGTTTTGGCGGGGGGAGTGGGCACAAAGGAGGTCCAGAATTCCCTTACAGTGGATGTCTCTTTTTCTGGTGGGCGTTTGAACTCTTTATTCTTTGTCCATTGTAAAGGGCTTAACGGTTCCTGTGCCTTGATTCTTTCATCAGTGAAATGTTTTGGAAGAGAGGTTGGAGTCCCCCTGTGACCTGCCCTGGGTGGCCCAAGCCTGTAGACCTTGCAAAGACATTACTTTTCTGGCCTGAACACAAACCCCTCAAACCTTTAGCCTGGCTAAATGCTTTGTACAAACAGCCGCATACTGATCTGCTCTATTCTCCTGTGATTTTCTGCTCAAGGGGCTGTACTGTGGGTTGCTTGCTATGTTTGCCACTTGCCTTGGTGGTGAGGACAGAACAATAAACGAATCCGACAGTACTGAGGCCAGCACTGTGCTTGGTTGTTCCGAGAAAATTATCCTGAAATCTGGTTGAAGAGATTAAAACCAAGAAGAACTGGCTGTGTCTCTGCCCTAAAGCTCCGTTCTCTTCTTTGTTTCTTCTTTTTTTTTTCTTTTTCTTTTTTTTTTCCCCCTTTAAGACTTTGTTCATTCCTCCCTCAAAATAAGTTGGTGGCATTGGTATGTAAAGTGTGACCTGTGATTACAGAAGTACGGCCGTGGGGTGAAGCATTGCATTCATTCCTTCCCGGGCTCCTCCCAGCCAAGGGCTGGAGAGGCTTTCTTGGAGCCTCTGGGCCGTGTTCTCCATCTCCCTTCTCCTCTAACACCAGTAATATCAGCTCATTGCACTGCTTGGATGTCAGTCCTAGAATCGTGGAGTGGTTTGGGTTGGAAGGGACCTTAAAGATCATCCAGTTCCAACCCCTTGCCTTGGGCAGGGACACCTTCCACTAGCACAGGTTGCTCCATCCAGCCTGGCCTTGGGCACTTCCAGGGATCCAGGGACAGCCACAGCTGGGAACAAGGAGATGGGACAGTGGGAAGAGAGGTGAGCTGTAATGAGCAACCACATCTTGGGGTGGAATCTCTCTTGGGTTGCTCATGAGCAGATGACAATAGTGATAAATCCGCGGGTGTTGTGAAGACATTCCCAATCACAGCCGCTTTCTCACGAGGACTTGAAGTTCATGCTTTTGGGAGGATCTTAAATTTCACAGCTCCCTGTGTGCCTCTCACCAGATTCCTGCCAGCTGCAAAGCCCTTCATCCAAAATAGAAACCCGCTTTCATTGCAGTGCTTTCAGGGTTTGCTTCCCAGTGTTCCTCCAGATGTAATCAGGAACATGATGTGACCCCATCCTTGGAGGGTAGGACATTGGGACTGGGGACTCAACCCAGGGATGTCTGAGCCACCCAAGGGGGTTTCATCCCTTGAGAAGATGCTCCAACGCTACTTCTCACATCTAAATGTTTTTAGCTTCTCAGGTACGTGCTTTTCCGAAGTGGGGCTGGGTTAGGTTTGATGTGGCTTTGGGGATAATTTTTCCAGATGAGACAGTGGGGTGCAGAGGGATTGTGTGAAGATGATTTATCCCTTGCAGATCAGAGGCAGAAGGCTTGGGTTAGTCCTCCCTTGTGTGTGTGCTGGCTCGGGCAAAGCTGCAGGCAAATTTTACAGCTAACATACATTAAAATGCCTTCATAGTCAGAATTAATTAAACCAGTTTTCTGAGGGATAAATGTAAACTCCCTTTGTCCTGAATATTGCAGGACTGGGCAGTGAAACTGGCTGGAAGCTGAACAGCTCTGATCTCATGGAATCATGGAATGGATTGGGTTGGAAGGGAGCTGAAAGATCATCTCATTCCAACTCCTTGCCATGGACAGGGACACCTTCCACTAGCCCAGGTGGCTCCAACCTGGCCTTGGACACTTCCAGGGATCCAGGAGCAGCCACAGCTTCTCTGGGCAACCTGTGCCAGGGCCTCCCCACCCTTTAGAGCCAGGAATTCCTTCCCAATAATCTCTGTCCAGTCCCATCCTGTGCAGAATTCTGTAGGCCCAACCATGGATGGTTCCTCCTGGCTCTGATTTGTGCTTTTCCTACCCAAGCCCTAGATGGGAGCGCTCACATCCCTAATTTCTCTTTGTACTTTTTCATTATTCCTCTGGAGTAGCAGTGTGGGATCAGAGTGATGGCTTTGCAGGCGTGCTTGCTGTTGTCCTGCAGCAGTTCTCACTTGAGTGATCGCCGCAAAGATGAGCGATGGCTTCAATCTCAAAGCTCTTCTGGCATCTGAGACTATTAAGAAGCAGAGCTGTGGGTGCCTGAGAAGTGGCCACAGTGCCCCTGGAGGTACCTGTGTCTGTGTTGAAGGATGTTCTCCATCCCAAGGTTTTAATGGAAGGTGGAGCAAGAAAGTTGACAAATAACCCTCCTTTACTTCCCAGAAATAAGGCAGTTCAGGAGCAGGGCTGAATCCTGGTGTCTAATTCATTAATCTCTTCTCATTAGAGCCGTGGGGCTGCTCCTGGGATGGGGCTGCTCTAGGAATTCTTTCAAAATAGGAATGTGATGATTTATTTTCCTTGTTTTGTGGCATTTGCTTGATAGGTTTTTGGAAGGAGAGGCGTACAAGGAGAAGACCATCTGGCGTGAAGTGACCTTGTCCATTAGTCCCTCTGATTAGCGACAAAAGGCAAAATCCTCCTTCCTTATAGTCGAGCCATCCTTAATCCTCATCCTTGTGGAGCTTTAGGAGCTGTGGAGTGAAAAAACAGGATAGCTGGGCCGTAACTGGCCACAGAAGTGTAAAACCTGTGTGCTGGTGTGTGTATTTTCCTTTCCCTTCTTCCTTGTCGCTGGAGAAAATGTCTCATTCTGGGTGTGAAGCCGAGGGCAGATGCTCCCTCTGGAGCCTTTGGCGAGTCGTGGCTCCACAGATTAGGCCCCCTGGGCGCTGGAAGGAGGAGAGAGGAGATGAAGCTGTAACCGAAGAGGGTGAAAACGAAGTGAAGTCGGGCAAAACCAACCTCAAAAGGCGCCCTGGGGTACGAGAGGCCGTTCAGACGCCGTGGAAGGACCGAGGTCCTCCAGCACGGCTCCATTCATTTGGGTTTTGGGCTTAAAGGATGGATTAGGAGAAAAATGAATGACCGGAGTATGAAACTTTGGCCAGGTTACACCGGGGGAGGAGATGAACGCGGCCCTTGGAAATATCCTCGCCGAGGTTGTTCAGCTGTCAGATGTCTTCATCCACCAGGGACCAACGTGCCACCCAACGGTTCTCCCCGTTCAGGGGGGTGGCCGGACCGCGCCGCCACCAGATAATGCAAATGATCCGCTGCCCAATAATTAATGGGGCTGCCGGGCATATTTTTTTGATGAATGCTTATGGGGCCCGGTGACAGGCGTGAAATTAGAAAATTCCTTCAGCGCCCTAAAATATAAATAGCTTTCGGAACTGAAAGGAGTTTTCACAGCTGAAGATTTTATTGTGTCGAGAGGAAAAACTTTTCCACCCCCCCATGCCCCCCCCCTTTCTTCTGGGCGAGTTGTTTGTCCGTTCACAAAACAAATACTCTGGAGCCCAGTGCGGCTCATGGGAATAAATTTCAGGTCGAATTAGTACAGTTTCCTTGCTGTCAGGACGGTGGAATTAATGGTGTTTTGATGACACGAATTTTGAAGGGCGAACAAAGACGCTGAAGGGAGGGAGACATGACTCCTTAGAAGCGCGGTCCTCCTCTCCCCCAGCCTCTCTTGTCTTCCCTGTCATCCGTCTGCCAATCTCCCTGTCCATGGTTAGTTAAAGGCGCTTTTTATCCTCTTTTCTTTCCCACAGAGTTTGCCAGATCCGGCCCAGTGCCTGGGTTCCAAGGGGACACGCTGCAGTTGGCCTTCATCGACTTGAGACAAGTAAGTCTTTGTGTTTTTGTTTTTTGTTTTTCTTTTAAGATGTGTGACTGAAGACCATCAGGTCTTAAGGGAAGGGGAGAGGAGGGGAAACGGCGTCAGTGATTTACGCCAGAGACCTATATTTCCCTCCTCCTCCTCCTCCTCTCCTCTCTCGAAGCCACCTCCTTATTGAGCGCTCCTGGAGATGGTGGAGGTGAAAAGGGCTGGTGGGACGGGGGCGAGGAAGAAAGCCAGGCCTGACCCTGGGCCGGTGGGGCCCATTGTGCTCCCGTTGGCTTCTGCAGGCGCGGCGCGAAGGGAGCGCGGCGGCTCCGCGGGCGGACGCCGAGCAGGTGGTGGAACAGAGAGAGCAGTGATGCAGAGCCCGCCCGCCTCGGGGACTTTTGTTCCCAGATAATGCCCCCAGAGGCGTTCAGGAGGGCAGGGGGGCTTTGAATTCCCCTGTGTTCGTGCCCCTTCGGGGGTTGTGGCCCTCTCTGGCTCGGCCACCCCCCCTGCCCGGTCCCCTCTTCCCGACCGTGAAGGACAAAGTGGCTCTTGGGCAAGAGGATTGGGGAAGGCTCCACCCGTCGGTGGCCACCTCTGGAGGGGGCCCCGTTGGAGCCAAGTTGACCATCATAGCAGGTAGTGAGGCATTTGTGGGGCTTGGCAAGCCAGTTTAGGGAAAAGGGCCATTCTGGGGAGTCATTTGTTTGGGGTAGAAATGGGCATTATTGATACACTTAGGCCGGGGGGGAAAAGTGAGGTGGTCCTGTCATCTCTTGGCACCGAAGATGGATGGGTTGGATAGAAAGTCTGAATGAAGTAAGACTCAATGACTGATGCTTCTCTCCTATTAAAACAATCTTTTTTTGTCCCTAAAACCCCCCTGGCTTTGTCCCTCCTGCCATCATGATGCAGTGCCTCTTGTTTTCAGGGTTGACGTCGCTTGCATTCTGAAAACTTTCGGGTGCCGAGGGTATTTCTTAAATCTGCATAATCCCTTGTATCGATGATCTCCTACCACCGGGGCTCTGATTCACGCTTGGAGCCGCTTTTTAACCCGTCAGGGTTTGGGAGCTTCTCAGAGAATCCAACTGATATGCAGGCAGCGATTTGTCATCGCGTGGTGCTTGTGCAGGACCCTTCGGTAGCGCCGAGGTGCCGCTTTTCGGGCTTGGACCTGCCAGGAACTGCCCAATTCTTGTGCAGAGCGGTCAGAGGAGCCACATGGGAGAGGTGTGGGTTATGCCTGGACACTTTTATCTTCATTGGCTTCTTGGCACTTTGCTGAAGGAGAGGCCTTGGGCCTTTTCCAAGCACCAGGGCATGAGTGCAGGGGTTCTGAGGAGGAAAGTGGTGGCTGTTGGAAGAGTGAAGTGCCTCAAAAGTGCTCAGAGAGGCTCAGCTGTGCTGAGGCAGGGAAATAAATGTGTGTGTGGGGTTCAGAAGCGCAGAACTCGGCCAAAGGAATCCACCCTGGGAGAGGAGAAGGCTCGAGCCTGCTCCTCTGGCAAACGATCTTCTCTGTACGTGGGGTTTTCCTCTTTGGTTGGCAAGGTAATCCCAGCTTTTTTTGTTGTATTTAAAAGTGTCTCTGAATTTCAAAGCCAGGCTGGATGCACTTGGAGCAACCTGGTTTGGTGGAAGGTGTCTCTGCCCATGGCAGGGGGTTGGAACTGGGTGATCTTTAGGAATCCCTTCCAACCCAAACCATTCTGTGGTTCTGTGAGTATTGTGAGGAGAAAGGGAAGATGCTCTTGCCTGTGGACTGTCAGGTGAGGACAGGCAGTCCTGGATCTTCTGGATCACAGGGATGCTTCTTGATGCTGTGTTGTACAGATAATGGACATCTCAGTGCTCCAAGTAGAGAAGATTCCACCTATCACTGCCTTATCCAGTTTAGCAATAGCAGGGAAAGATGAGAGAGTTCCAAGATCCAAGGTCCTGACAATGGCCTGTGGGTCACCAAACTCCATCCCTGTGGTGCTCTGTTGGCTCCTTTGTGACCAGCAGAGCTCCAGTGCTTCCATCACTGTGGTGCTTCCTGCTGGACTGCAGCTCCAGCTGGGAGCAGGGCACAGCTGGGAAGGTGGATGGGTGAAGGCACAGCAAGGAGAGGTCTTTGTTTCGTTCTTCAAGTTGGTTTTAATTTGGTTTTTTGGCCATCGTGTTCTCTGTCTTTTAAGCCACTGAATCAAACTGAAATAAGGCAGGTTTGAAGCAGGTCTTGGGAAGATGTGAGGGTGGGGAGGCCCAGGTTGGGCAGAGAAGCTGTGGCTGCCCCTGGATCCCTGGAAGTGTCCCAGGCCAGGTTGGAGCACCCTGGGCTAGTGGAAGGTGTCCCAGCCCGTGGCAGGGAGGTGGAACTGGATGGTATTCAGGTCCCTTCCAACCCAAACCATTCTGGGGTTCTGTGAAATGTTAACACAATATTGACTTAAAAGATATGACCTGAAAGTGTTCGTGCTTCTGGCTGTTTTCACTGGGCAAAAGTGCACCAAAACAGGGAGATTAAAGGGGTTTCCCCTCCCTCCCCAGCACAGTTCAGTAATAGCTGTTACAGAGCAATTGTAGACCACAGAAAAATTTGAAAATAATGAGTGATCAAGTTTAAGGGAATGACCAAAGTTGATTCTTAGTACAGTAAAATATGAAGCAAGTGTAGTGACTTGGTTGATGTCTTGAATACAGATCCCTGTAGTGGGAAATAAACACTGAAAAGATGCTGTTTAGGGCCTCAGAGTTCCTCCTTGAGTACATTGCAGGCCTGATTTTCCTCTTGTGCTCAAGGAAATTGGGAGCAAATCCATCACCATGTGTAAAGAGGAAAAGAGTCAAGCCCAGATGATCAAAATCACTCTTCCGAGCAGACAGTAATTTAAAAAGGGACTTTTCTTCCCATCCTGGGACAATTCTAAATCCACAAATAACCTCTAATGAAGTGCTAAAATAAACCAAGTTGCATCTCAAATCCTTCTGTAGGAGTGAGACTCAAATATTTAAGGTTTTACAGGAAACAATGGTTTTCCCCTGCAAGTTTAACTTTGCTCTTGCCCCCTCAGTGCTGTGTCTTAGAAATCTGAACTAAATCTAATCCCACAAAATAACCTCGTGCAAGGGGTGAGGACAGGGAGGTTCCACTCCTCCTCATCATTTTCCTGGTTCATTTTATGGGTGTCACTTGGTGGGGTTTGAATTTCAACGTCAGCTCTTCCAAGCCCAGCAGTGAGGTTAAGAGAGACAAGGTCAGGGTTAGACGGGATATTGGGAAGGAATTGCTGGCTGGGAGGGTGGGCAGGCCCTGGCACAGGTTGCCCAGAGAAGCTGTGGCTGCTCCTGGATCCCTGGAAGTGTCCAAGGCCAGGATGGATGGGGCTTGGAGCAACCTGGGCTAGTGGAAAGTGTCCCTGCCAGAACTCTGGAGTGTTTGGACAATGCTCTGAGGGACAGGGTGGGATTGTTGGGGTGTCTGTGCAGGGCCAGGGGCTGGACTGGATGATGCTGGTGGGTCCCTTCCAGCTCAGGATATTCCATGATTCTGTGAGATGTATAGCCCTTTCTCCTGCTGCTTCCATACCCAGCCCTGGGCATAGTGAAGGGAAAGCTCCAGAAAATTTTGATCCCTTGACATGACACTGAAAGCTCTGGCCACCTCTTGCTCTGGTACCTGAGGCATTGTGGTGGTGGGAAGGTGGAGATGATCCCTCCAAGTGAGCATCCAGGACAACATGCAGTCCATTCCCAGCAGGCAGGAAGATTTGAGTAAGGTTTTTTTAACCTGCTTTTATATATTTTGCTGTTAAATTTGGTTTCCCTGCCCTGCAAAGTCACGAGATACCTGGTGAGCAGCGTGAAAACGAGACACTGGGTGAGCCTCAGAGCCAGACCCGACTCTGCTGTTGGGGAAACTGGTTTGGCTTATTTTCCCAACTCGTTTTGCTGGTAGATACAGCAGGAGCTGGAAATCATAAGAAAGGGCTGATCAATTAAATGAACCATCCCAGCGAGGTGTCTCCTCTCCACATGTACTTGCTTGTGTCTCCAAAGGGCTCTGTTGAAGGAGGAGCTGCAGACAGATGGGCCGTGTTAGTCACTGGATGCAGTGGGGCAGGGATGAAGAGGTGACTCATGGGTTTTTCAGCTCATTTCTGGGGCTGTTTCTCATCTCCAAATCGCTCTCTGGGCTCTCATCCCCCTGCCCCGCTTGCCCAGCTTCGACCTCAGCTCGGCTGGTTCTGCCACTGCACTGTGCTCTCTGTTTTCCCGGAGAAGGTGTGGCTTTCCCATCCCTGGAAGTGTTTTTGGCCAGGTTGGAGGGAGCTCTGAACAACCTGGGCCAGTGGAAGGTGTCCCTTGGTACAGCTGAGCTTTAAGGCCCCTTCCAACCCAAAGCATTCAGTGATTCCCTGATTTTGAGAAGCACTCCTTTACTTCTGGTTCTCTGGTCATTCTGGTTTCAGCATCTTTGGTGTTTAATGCCCTTTGCAAGGGGAGTTTTTCCCATGGGAAGGCAACATTTCCATTTCACTTCTCCCTTAATCATCAGAGAATCATTAAGGTCGGCAAAGACCTCCGAGATCATCAGGTCCAACCATCAGCCTCTTCCATTCTCTCCTCTCTTTTGACCTGCATCCCTTCACTCCTGTGTTTGCCCTGTGTCCTGTCCTTGCTTAATGACACCTGGTTTAATTTTACTGAATTCATTTAATTTAATTTAATTTAATTAATTAATTTAACCACTCCTCTGTGGCCTCCGCCACATCCTCCTCTCCAGCCCCAGGATCCAAAGCCCTCGGCCGGCTCTCAAACACAGCCCCTTCCAAGTATCTTAAAATCTTCCAGTGAAATATTGAATTCTGTAAATCCTTCCTTCCAAACATCCTCTCCTTGAGCACTGAGGAAGACAGAGGTGTGAAGACACAATTGCAGTTGAGCCCTAATTCCTGATTTCCCAGCAGTGACGGGTGGGAACTGGTGTGATCGCTGCCCTTGAGCAGAGGGCTTTGCTGTTAAGATCT